TGCAACTGAATTAAATAAAAGCTACCACACAACACCCTTCAAAGCAAGTACATTTAGAAAATCAATTTATTAGCAAGAATGAACTGCTTATACCATAGTGAAATTTCAGCTTTGAAATTCCTTCCTAGTTCACATAGCCTGTGTTCTTATTTTCTCAGGTATGTTCACATGTACGCATGCTTACTGGCTGCTATAAAAACATTTGGCTATGAGAAGCGTTAAGATGTGAACTAAAGCATACAAGGCTTCATTAATGCATCTTCTTTAACACATACAGTTATAAAACTGTAAATATAGAAGGAAAAGAGTTAGCTAGCTGGGCCTGAAACTTCAGTAATTAGGACAACATACACAACCACTCCCTAAGAAAGGGAGCATTACAAGAACCCAACAACTACTACTGATAACTGAGCCATCTGCAGGTTTGTCCACATGACCCAGCATGCAGTTCTGCAAAGTCATGTTACACGTAGCCACAACAAACAGGAGGGGAGAAAAAAAAAAAAACTGCTTTGTAATAAGTCTTTTTGACCAGATTTTTTAAGAGAAACTTTTACAAAAATGCCCAGATCAACTGCATGATCAGCATACCATATATCTGCCTCTTCTGAAATACACTTCTTGAGGAGAACTTAAGTACAGTACCTAAGTCATAATGAAGTTCATACAACTTTTAAACATTTACACAGTCCATACCTCATTATTTGATGAATTCTTCCAATACAGAACCCGGTAAGACAAGCCATAATCTCGGAAGGCCTCATTCTCAGATCCTCCTGGAGGAGCAATCTGGATATGGAGCAAAACATCACTGATGTCCACTTTTACAGTGGGAGGGCCAATTTCATCTTAAAACATTTTTTAAAAAGGAAAAAAAAATTAGACTGAAAGAATACAAGTAAAAACAACAAAAAATACTCCAATATAAATTTGCAACAGTTTTAATAGGTTGCAGGCTGACTTTATTAATAGTGCTTTGCCTTAAATTAGTAAATCTAATGATGTATTTCTAAATAGTAAAATACTGACTGTTGAATTAGAAAAGACCATGGAAAAATATGTACTGAATCAGATGATTCCCACCTGAGTCCCTGCACAGGAACTATGTATTTGTTCATCTGACAAGTTTATTTTTGCAAATATTAGCATAGCCAACAAGCTGGTTGAGAAACGAACACATTTAAGAAAACACATCTGCTTACTTGTTACCAGAGGATCTATTTTTACTTCATTGGACAAGCATGATCTATTATATCCACTCATTGCCTGTACACGGAGATAATAAAATCCAGGAGCAGGAGGGATGATAGACGTGAAATTGCATTTTGTATTAGTGATGTTTTCACATCCAGGTACACAGAGCCACTTTTTTGACTGGTCACCAGGAATATTCTTTAAATATGCCCTAGAAGAGATATGTTTTAACATTTTTTCAAGAGAATCACAGAGTCCAGGCTGACAGGTGCCTCATTTTTCTTTCTTTTAGGGAGAAAGGTCTCAAAATTTTCTTATACAGGTAACATTAAGTGATATTATTTTTTATTTACAATTGAAACAGTGATGCTAACTGGAGCAGAATATAGAAATTAATGCTTACACAGTTGCCCCTCAATAGAAAAAATATGCAATGATTTTAAACATTTGGAAAAGTAAATGATTTTTCATACAGTTCTAAGTTGATTGTTTGTCTGACATGCCCTAGAAATTCCAAAAGGATTCTACATTTTGAGGTCTCTCCTCTGTTACTGGAAAGCACAGCAAAATTAAATGCAAGTCGAAAATTTAGAAAAAAATCCACATCATGATCACAATATTTGTGCTACAATTAGACATTAACATAAATGTTTGCAGAGGTGTGTGGTTTTTGTTTTTGTTTTTGTTTTTTTTTAAAAAAAAAAACATCATACACTTCTGGTTCACAACTTCCAGTTGTCTAATTTCTTTGCATCTTTAAAAAAATTCTAAGCAATGCAAGCTTTGCATCTTACAGAAATGTTGTTTAGTGTATATTTAGAAGTCCAATCTATCACATATTTAACATTCTTTTAAACTAAAAAAAGAAACCTGAAAGTCTAGGTTACTTTACTTGCAATTGTTTTTAGAGCCACACTGTGCCCTGATGAGGTCCTGAATGCTTCAATTAATGCGTTAAGCCACTTCTGCAAGTATTACACTTTAGAAACTGTTACTAGAAATTAAAATACAATAAACTGTTTAAAATGACAGAACCTGTTTACACAAACACACAGCAACTGTTCAACTCACAGGAGATACTGCACAGTGTATCTCACACTTTCCTTGTACTGACTCTTCCAGTGAAGATGAAACTTCATGTTCAAAGCAGAAACTCTCACATTTGTTGGACAAAGCAGATCTTTTACTGCACAAAACAAGAAGGAAACCCAGTCACTAAAAAGCTTTACATTATGTACAATACCCTTTTTTCCATCACAGCCTTATCTATAGCACCATTTGTTAGCACTCCTAATTTCAATATATGAAATGAAATTGCTTGCAACGCATGGCTCCAGGCAGATGGGCGAGTACTTCTTGGAATGGAAACAGAAGTCAAAAATACCTGAAGCAAGCAGATGTTCTCTGCCTAGCGCAGGTACAGAAAGGAACTAAAGCAAAAAATACAAGCAAACATTTTACTTGAAAATTCTGATTCAGTGGCAAATGTTTTAAAAACTAAAACCACTTGTTATTGGAGGATAAGGGGAAAGTCTCCTTTCCTTTGGAGCAAGTAACCTCTTATGAGGGTAGAGCAGAGGCTTTCACTAAGTACTGGAGGGAATGGAGAGGAAAAAAAAGAAAAAGAGCTGATGTACCACCTGTTCAAACTAACACATGACTTTATACATTCCCGCTGTATATTTTTTTTCCCTAAACACTGAAGAGTTCTTAAACAGGTACCTGAGCAGTGCACTAAGGAAAAAAAAAGTACACATGCAAAACAAGCCATTAGTTACAAGCAAAATTCCACTAAGACATTCTTCAGAATCTGCAAAAAAATCAAGATGACTCATTTTTTTTTTTAAGCGCAGCTCAACTTTATATGCAATCGTATTTTAAACAGAAAATCTAAATCACTATCAAGATTGCTGTTATATCAAAATGAATAAGACCTCCAGGCCCAGTAACCCTACTTTAAAACAAAACAATCTTTCTCTGTACCTTTACGAGTAGTTTTTATGCAATGGATGGGGCCGAATAAGCCTTCCTTTTCCAAAGGGCGGTATGCTTGTACTCTCAAACAGTAGGTAGTCTCTGGTGCAAGATCATTAATTGTGTCCGTAGGAAAGATACTTTGCTTTCTGAGCTGCAAGAAGATTGTGAGCAGCATATGAAGATAATCATTCTTCCTCACGAGTTTATTCCTTAAACTTTTCTGCCTGTTCCAGTTCATTTATATAAAATACCCGCCAAAAGGTTAAAACAGGTCATGAGGGTGAACTAAAGGCAATTTTTTTCAGCACAGGTGAATGAGTGCAACATGCCACACTCCCTTATACACGTAAGCAGGAAGGGCCCATTTCTTCCTACTGCCTTGACCTCTTCCCCACTTCCTGTTCCTGCTGGCCAGGCCTGGTTCCTGTCCCAGTACATCAGAAATGGTTTTACTGTCTTCCTGGCACCTCGTTTGGCTATTTATATTTATAGAAATGAAAAGCTTGTTCATAAAATACCTAATAAAATTCTCTAGTTAAAAAAAAATGCAGATCAACAGATGTACCCAGTAACATAACAAAGCAATTATCTTTTAGAGCAATTAAAAGTATATTTCTGGCAGTTATTTTAGGATTAGAAAATAAAAATCGAAGCATGATTATACCTCTGCATTTGATGAGTTTTCCCAGATAACCAAATTATATTTAAAGCTCAGATCATCTATCCACATTTTTTGGGCCTGATTTGCTTCTGGAGGAGAAACCTTGATTTTTATTACTCCATTTGTAGACTGCAACTCTATTTCTGGGGGACCAATCTCAGCTGTAAACAGAAAAAACAAACATACACAGTCAAGCAAAACCATTTAGAAAAATATCACCCCAAATTTATTCACATTAAAAAAGGTAGTTGTATATATTATTTTTAATTCCTTTCTGTCAGTAACTAATAGAAACCTAA